TGTGATCGAGTCGAAGATATTGCAGAAGCACTTGAAGAAGATCTTAAAGATTGTCCAAAGATGTTTGAGAGGTTGGTAAGCGATGCAGAGAAGCCGTTGTATAAAGGTTGCACTACTTTCACAAGATTGTCTGCGGTATTAAAGTTGTACAACTTAAAGGCGGGTAATGGATGGTCGGATAAAAGTTTCACAGAGTTGTTAGCCCTACTTCAAGAGATGCTTCCGGAGGATAATGTTCTTCCCAATCGAACCTATGAAGCTAAAAAAATGTTATGCTCTATTGGTATGAGCTATGATAAGATACATGCTTGTCCAAATGATTGCATTTTGTTTCGAAATGAGTATGCATCATTAAACGAGTGTCCTAAATGCGGTGTATCTCGGTATAAGAAAAAGTTGTCACCAGCAAAAGTCTTATGGTATTTTCCTATAATTCCGAGATTCAGACGCATGTTTCGTAGTGAAACAGATGCGAAACACCTTACTTGGCATGCAGATGATAGAATTATAGATGGGAAGTATCGACATCCGGCAGATTCACCACAGTGGATGAAAATTGATAATGATTATCCTGATTTTGGAGAAGAAGCTAGAAACCTTCGCTTGGCATTATCGACTGATGGAATGAATCCGCACGGTCTGCAAAGTATCTCCCATTCCACCTGGCCTGTAATTCTTATGATTTATAACCTACCTCCATGGCTATGTATGAAGCGTAAGTACATGATGTTATCTATGTTAATTTCTGGCCCTAAACAACCAGGAAACGACATAGACGTATACCTGACACCTTTAATCGAAGACTTAAAAAGTTTGTGGGAGAACGGTGTGGAGGTTTATGATGGATATAGGAAAGAAAGTTTTAATTTGAGGGCCATGTTGTTTGGCACAATTAATGATTTCCCAGCATACAAAAATCTATCGGGGTATAGCATTAAAGGTCAATGTGCGTGTCCTATCTGTGAAGAAAACACAGATTGGACGCGGTTGGAATTTGGTCAGAAGAATGTCTTTCTTGGTCATCGTAGATTCTTAAGTTCTAATCATCAGTACCGTGGGTGGAGACAAGAATTCAATGGAAATTCAGAACAACGTAGAGCACCACCTACATTGACCGGCGATCAAATTTTTGCAAAGGTGAAAGATGTGAGTACTCAGTTTGGAAAGCCTTTTGCTCATACGCTTACCACGCGTGGGTGGAAGAAGAGGTCAATTTTGTTTGAGTTGCCGTATTGGAAGTCGTTGTATGTACGACATTTTCTTGATGTTATGCATATTGAAAAAAATGTATTTGAAAGTGTTATTGGTACGTTACTCAATATACAAGGAAAGTCTAAGGATGGCCTTAAAGCAAGAAAAGACTTGGTAGCAATGGGAATAAGAAATGAATTAGGACCCCAGAAGAAAGGAAATCGCACTTATCTACCACCTGCTGCATATACTTTGTCTAGAAAGGAGAAAAAAATAATGTGTAAGTTTCTGAGTGAAGTTAAAGTTCCAGAAGGATACTCTTCAGATATTAGAAGACTTGTTTCTATGAAAGACCTAAAGTTAAAGAGTTTAAAGACACATGATTGCCATGTTCTTATGGAACACTTTCTACCAATAGGTATACGTTCTATTTTTCCAGAAAAAGTGAGAGGCGCAATAACAAAATTGTGTTTCTTTTTCAGATCTATTTGTAGTAAGGTGATCGATCCTGCGATCTTACCAACATTGCAAAAAGATATAATTATTACTTTGTGTGAGCTTGAAAAGTATTTTCCTCCGTCATTCTTTGACATAATGGTACATCTAGTTGTGCATCTCGTGAAAGAGACACAACTGTGTGGACCTGCATATATGAGATGGATGTATCCAGTTGAACGTTATATGAAAATATTGAAAGGGTATGTGAAAAACCGAAGTCGACCAGAGGGATGTATTGTTGAACGATACATTGTTGAAGAAGCTATTGAGTTTTGTACTGAATATTTGTCCAACGTTCAATCCACTGGCCTCCCAAAATCTGATGTTGTTGAAAAAGTAGTAGGTAAACAGTTAATTGGAAATAAAGTTGTGACAGTTTCAAGGGATGAACGAGAGCAAGTGCATTTATATGTTCTGCACAATGACATTGAGGTTGAGCAGTACGTTAAATTGCACAAGGACGTTCTCCGAGGTTTAAATCTGAATAGAAATGAAAATTGGATAGTACGTGAGCACAATCGAAGTTTTATAACATGGTTCAAAGAGCATATTTATTCAAAGTTTTATTCTGATCCCGCTTCAATAACAGAAAGGTTGAGATGTTTAGCATATGGTCCAACTTTGCATGTGTTTTCTTATAGCGCATATGCAATTAATGGATACACATTTTATACCAAGGAGCAAGATGATAAAAGTACAATGCAATATAGTGGTGTCACTGTGTTTGCCGAATCAATGCACATTTCCTCGTATTTTGGGGTAATCGAGCGCATTTGGGTGTTTGATTATGAGAAGTTTCAGATTCCTATCTTTGGATGCAAGTGGGTTGAAAGTAATAGTGGCATACGTATGGATAAGTCAGGTTTTTTGCAAGTGGATCTTAATAAGGTGGGGTACAAAGATGAGCCTTTTATTCTAGCCACACAAGCTAAACAAGTGTTCTATGTCACTGATCCGAAAAGTACGAAATGGTTTATAGTTCTTTTTTCCAACAAAGTAATCAACGATAACATTGGAGAAAAGGGGGAGGTTGATGTTGAGAATGAATCTTATGTTAGGGATGATCCAGATGAGAATATTATAGCAGACGAATCATATATTAGAAATGATCATAGCGAGGGAATTTGGATCAATCCATCCGTCCGTGTTGTTAAGAGACAAGTAAAGCACCTTCGAACTAAAAAAAGAAAAAGATGTTAAAGGTACTTGTAAAATTACATATTGTCTCATTCAATAAAATAACATATTATTTCTTATTTATACGTTTCTTATGTGTATATATATATATATATATATATATATATTTCTTATTTACATATTTGAATGTCATTCATTTGATACTTTAGTTTTCCTGAATTACAGGTATATTATGGCCAGCAATAAAGATTGAAAGAAATTAAAGTAGAATTGTATAATTTGTGATGTTGAATTTCGAGTTGAGAATTGTATATAATTTGTGATGTTGAATTGTGAAGCTTTTGAATTATATATATTAAAGTGGAATTGTATATAATTTGTGATGTTGAATTGTGCATATAATGCCAAAGTGTTGAATTGTGTATATAAAGCTAAAGTGCTGAAATAAAGGGTTAAATTATATAAGCATGTATTGTAATATAAGCAGGTTTATTGAAAAATATATAAAAAATGCCATTAATCAGGAATTTTTTTTTTCAAAACGTGCACATTAGACAACGCTTTTATGTATAAGCGCTGCTAAAGGGAATAGAGAAACTGCTAAAAAAGCGCTGCTATAGGTGGGGAAAGAGGGGTCTAAGACAGCGCTTTCATAAAGCGCTGCTATAGGGGGGGTCTAAGACAGCGCTTTAATAAAGCGCTGCTAAAGAGGGGGAGGGGGGGGGGGGGAGATTAGGCAGCGCTTTAAAAAGCGCTGCTAAAGGGGTAAAAAAGCGCTGCTAAAGGTGATGTCTTTAGCAGCGTTTTTTCCACAAAAAAAGCGTTGCCTTTACCTTTAGCAGCGCCACTTTAGGCAGCACTTTAAAGCGCTGCTAAAGGTCAAAAAAAGCACTGCTAAAAGTCTGTTTTGGCATAGTGTATAACTATAACTATAGGGGAGTATATAATCAAAGTTCAGGCGGTCAAGTAAGCCAATAGGTTATGTGGTATGATTTGAGAGTTAGGAATTACTAAAAAATGTATGAAGATGCATAATGAAGTCAAAGTGCAACTAATTTAGATAAAAACCAAATGTATTATAAGAGGAGAAACACATAAAAAAATATACATTTCATTAAAGCCGTGATAATATCAAAGGAGATTGTGATAGAGAATGTTGCTTTGAAATATAATAAGACATATGTGTTTACCATGTCATTATCAAGGTCAAGGTTCAAGAATTGGTTAATCTTGATCAATATCATTGAATGATGATCCCAGGTAGAATAAAGCACCAAAGTGGTTGATGGATAAATTGACATCTCCAACAATTTTTAGGAGAAATAGGAATTTGTTGTGTATGCCTTAAAATTCCTTTTGTTGCAAAAATTGAATAATTATTTTTTGAATTCTTCCTCATGCGTGAGGTATAAGGATCATAAGTAAAACACATGGAAGATCTTTTTTCCATAGTTTTCCATAGCCTCATGTGTGAGGCCGAGTAGAATTCTGTGCAAAATGAGTTAAACATGCATAATCTACAAGGCTTCAATGTTTGGGCCAAAGTGTCCACAACTCAGGGGCTTCTTAGACACACATTAGAATGGGTAAGTTTTCTCATTCCCTAAATAACTCTCTGAAAACTGTGTTGTATGCAACGGGAAAAATGTAACCTCCCTCTTTTTCTAACTATTTTTCTTTTTTGGCGATATGTCCAACCTCGCTTCTCTTCTTAAGGTTGTCGTATTTCTTCTTTCTCTTTATATTTATTTTTGTTAGCTTGTGATTTTTCATACACTTATTTGATAGATTGATTATTGTTTGAGATCGTTTAGAATTAGTTGTAATCATTCTTTATCCCATACGTGATGTATCTTGATGTTTTCACAACAAGCACTTTTATAATTTTTTTTTTTGTATTTTGTATAAGTATTAAATTATTTCACAATACAAAAGACATAATTCACATCGAAGTTAATAAATAATCACACCCAAAATATTAAACTCTGATTAAAATAAAATATATCTAAACAATGTAAAGAGATGATATCACATGAATTTTTTTTTGTGCAAAATTCTTTACATCATAAATATTACAAGTAGTCATCTTCTCTTTCATTTTTAAGTTGGCTTAACTGAAACAAAACATATAACTTGCTGGCAACAATAATACAAGCAGCATAAAATTTAAATTCCTATCGAGGAAGAAAAATACTTGTAGACATTTCATTTGTAGACAAAAGAGAAGAGCTATAGGCATTAGCAGATTGAGTAGAACTTGATTCTTGTATAAGAGATGTTGAATAAGTATTACTACGTAAGAAAAACGCAGGTTCATGTGGTGCTGGTAATTCAATTGAATAACTGCTAAGATAAGAGACAATTGTCACCATTGAAGGTCTTGCATCAGGGTCATGTTGAACACATAATAGACCAATCTGAATACACTTGATGACTTCACTTTTAGAATAATCTTCTTTGATATTTGGGTCCAATATGCTTAAAGGTGTTTGATCCATCCATTGTCTCCATACCTTAAATAATATCTCAAATGAAATTTCAAAAATGATTAAAATAGTTACATATGATAAATAGTGTATACAACCATATTTTATAAAATTTACTGTTTGAATAATCTAAAATCCTTTTGATTTATTATTGAAGTGCATCAACATTAATGTCGTATAATTAAAGCATTGAAGACATAAGTTTTAATGACTTAAACAATATATTATCTGAAATTAAATTGGTATAATAATATATATAATTGGTCATTATCATATAAAATTTTAATTTATTAATCAAACTTTGAAAATATATAGCGATCTTGAGGGTGTAATATAATTAAATCAGGGTTATTCAACGTCTATTCTTATTGAAAGATTGTATTAATAAATCAGACTTACATAATTCAAGAGACCGTTAACAATTGATTGTGATGAAGATGAACTTATATTCTTTTTTCCAGAAACAATCTCTAAAATCATGACTCCAAAACTATAAACATCTGATTTTTCTGAAAATTGTCCAAGCATTGCATACTCTGGAGATATATAACCACTATAAATAAATTAAATTTAGTGTTAATTTAACTATTGTTCACATTAAGTAATGAAACTTGAAAAAGAAAACAAATGAATAAACATTTAAAGCTTACTATGTTCCGACAATTCTCTTGGTACTTCTTTCGTCTTGACTTATTTCAACAATTCGAGCCAAACCAAAATCTGAAATTTTAGGAATCATATTTTCATCTAAAAGAATATTGCTAGGCTTGAGATCCCGGTGTATAACCTTGAGTCGTGAATGTTCGTGCAAATAAAGAATTCCTCGAGCAATTCCTCCTATGATGTTAAAGCGTTCAATCCAGGTTAACGACTTTTGCTGTTGAAAATCTACAAAATTATTCATGAAAACTAAATTTTTAGTTCATAACTAGAAAATGCTATATATTTAAAGTCAAAATCTAACTATTGCAAACTAAAAAGTTTATAAAGTGAAAAGTGTCTAACCAAATAAAAAGTAATCAAGACTTTTGTTGGGTACAAACTCATAAATAAGTATTTTCTCATGTTGTTCAAGGCAAAACCCAATAAATGTAACTAGATTTCTATGTTGAAGCTTGGCTATCAATAAAACTTCATTCTTAAACTCCTCAACGCCTTGTTTAGAACTTTCAGAAAGTCTCTTTATAGCTACTTCTCGTCCATCAAAAAGGATGCCCTAAAAAATAGTAAAGAAAAAAAAGTCTAGTTACTTTATATGTTGCACAAAATCCAAATATATATTGTACGAGTGTCTTTATGATTTTATATACAAAATTTATTCAAAATTGAACCACAATAACATATTTAAAAAAAAATGATAATATACGATAATATATACACATTTTATATTCTACCAATAAAATACACATATGTAATATATTTAATCTATTTTTCACATGTATATTGGTATTGTTCTGGTCTGGGCCCGACCTCGGTCCAGCCCAATACCACGCACGGCCCAATAAGTGAACTGACCACGCCGAGCACGCGCGTCCCGCAGGACGGGCAGAGCACGCCACCGGCCACAGGCGACGCATCCGACAGCATCTCGACGTCCCCTCTTATCGGCCGAACAGGACACACCCCGGCGCATCGAAGCGAGACCTTTGGTTCCTCCCCAACCTCGCGAGCTCCCCTCCGCGGGGAGGACAACGTGCCCGGCGCACGTTTTCCACGTGCTCCCCTCCGCGGGGACACGTCACCAACCAACTGCCCACCTCCGAAAGAGCAGGTCAATCCCACTTTCCGGAGATCTAGGAGCAGTTGGACTAGGGCGAAGACCACGTCCTGGTCTTCACTACGCCACGTAAGCCCTAGCAGTCATTAGGGTTGGGCCTGATCATCTAGCCCATCTCAAATGACCGTTGGCCTAGCGCTGGGGTCTCTCTATAAATACCCTATTCCTCAAGAGGGTCTGGTAACACATTTCTTAACCCTTTTCTGTACTTCGCCATCGCTCTGCCCAACTTCTCACTTTGGCATCAGAGTGTTTTGCAGGTACACCCCCCTTTTTTCTTCCTCATCACCGGCGAGCAAGCAGCAGTCCAACAGAGTGTGGCCAGCCCGTGATCCCCTTCTGATCAGGTCAGATAAGGTATTTTTATGAAGAGCCTACGAGAGATAATCGGGAACGAGAAATAACGTATCACCCAAATTGCATCCTGATTGCTCATGTATCCAATCGATGCCTATTTATAGGATGAAACACACATTTTTCTCGAATATGTTGTCTATTTCTTGGATAACTCGCGTAAAGCTTGAGAAGTTGGGGAGTGACTTATCCTGAGTCAACAATAGTGAGAAAAGAAATTAGGAAGAGTTAATCATGTTCACTTAAATCCGGGCGTTGAGACTTATCCATTCACTCATTCCTTGAAGTAGGTTTTGGTTCTTGGGGATCTAAGATCCGGGCCTAAAAACTCCTATAAATACTTCAATCTTAAGGGTGGGGAGGCAACTCTCTCATTTACATTGATACCAACCAAATACAGAATGCTTCTCACTTTTTCAGGTGGACTAAGTGTAAACCCTACAATAAACCCTAAAATCACTAAAAAATTAAAAATTGTTGCATATTGTATTTTTACCGAATACAAAATACATTTTCAAAAACTTTGGTAGTGTCTTCTTTAATGTTATTTTATAAGTAAAGATAGAAAGAAAAATTATTATTGTATAAGTTAAAAGAGAATAAGGTTTGTTGCATTTTCTCACCTTATAAACTTCTCCAAACCCGCCTTTGCCAATATAATTGTCAATAGAAAAGTTATTCGTTGCTGCTTGAATTACCATCCAATCAAATTGCAATGGTTCTAAAATGGCACTTTCTTCACCAACTAAACAAAAATGATTTGATTTAGATCAAAAGAAAAGCTTATAAGAAATTACAATGATTTTATCTAGCATGATACTAAATAGACACAAAATATACTTACAATTTTCTCGAAGAATAGTCCTACGACTCTTTCTTCCCCTTCTCTTAAAAAAGTAGTAGCCAATAGAAAAGAGGATCGCCAATATAATGATTGAGCCAACGATGAAGATAATTGTCCGTTTCTCTGCACAAAACCATTGATATCTATAAATCTCATAATTCCATTATAGCGAACATTGATGATAAAAACATCAACTTTGAAGTAGTTTACCTGCATTTCTTGATAATGGAGAAGGAATCCCATCCATGTAAAATTGGAACAATTCAAACCTGAGATTGCAGCTAGGATATATAATTCTTCCACCAACACTTCCCAAAAGTGACCATGGAATTGCTCTACCGATCACATCATTTAAACACGAAATGCAATCCTCACTCGACAAATTTGGCGTACATTGTTCAAGAGCATACAAGGTTTGTTTATCATTCAACTTTAATGAATTTGTCAAATATTTTCCATCACTGTTTCCTGTTTTATTTGCAAGTTCAGATAACTGATTCGATAACGCAGTCGCGAACAAATTTTGGTCCGGGATGGAGTGATTGGTGATATTTATATCGCGGTACATAGGCCTTGTTTCCATATTAATAATGATATACCGACTCGAGTAACGAACCAGGCAGTGACTGTACCAAATTATACCCTCTGATGATGAAGGACACTTCGAGTATATTAATTGCTCCGTTCCGCTTATCACACATGGAGCACAGAGATGAGGTGGAAGGTCGCCTCGACACATGAAGAGGCCGTACACCGTGTCGTCCCCATTATATGTATGAAATTTTAAGCCGCTTGCGGCGTTGGATGACAAATCAGTGACAAGTAATTCCAAGTTTTTGGAAGAGATTGTATTGTGCTTACTCGAGCAATTATGGGAAAGATAAAATGGATCTTGGGAAAAATTTGCATCTTGTTTGGATTCATTTGTTTGAGGAGCAAGTTCATTTGGTGAAGTAACATCAATAGACCTATAAAAAGGATATAGTTCATACCTAACATTACAGCTCGGGTAAAGATATCTCCCACCCACCTTTCCGTTACAGCACAATGGAAGCTCCTTAATAGCACTACTTAGACAGGCTCTGCAATCATCCGGTGACAAGTCCTGCGTGCACTGAGCAAGACAGTAAAGGGTTTCAAATTCCGAAACTCGTGTTTCATTTGTAGCAAACTTTTTGATCTTGACACCGGAAAGTGGACGCGCTGCTTCATCTGCGGTTTGATTCATGAATGATAACAATAAAGGAATGAAGGTTGTCGTGTTCGAGACATTGGCTGTATTGGTAAAGGAAAAACCAGACTTATCCACGGTTGAAAAGAAGTTGTAGTCGGAGTATCGAAGCATGCACTCGTTGTACCAAATCACAGCTTGTTTGGAGAAAGAACAGTATGAGGATAGTTGCTGGATTGCATCATTTATGCATTCATGACATACCATAGAGGGCACATCCCCCCTGCACATGAACAATCCATAGACAGAATCTGAGGGGTTTAGAGCAGTCACTGTGGTGTTGTAGAATTCAGTGTTTCCGGTGGCTTTTGAAGACAAGGAAGAAAGTAGGCTCATGAGATTGTTTTGGAAGACGCTGTGGGTTGTGGTAAGGTCGTTATAACAATTTCTCTGCAGAAAAAATGGAGAGTTTTGTGCCTTGATTGTTGCAAAATAGAGGAAACATACAAGGATATAGAAAAAGAGAAGTTTAGAGGCCATGGAATTTCTTATTATTGAGTCTGTTTGATTTGAAATGATAGAGGTAAGTAAACAATGTTTTTGGTAAAACACTTTTATACCTTGAAGTTCTTTTATATATATATATATATATATATATATATATATATATATATATATATATATATATATATATATATATATATATATATATATATATATATATATATATATATATATATATATATATATATATATATATATATATATATATATATATATATATATATATATATATATATATATATATATATATATATATATATATATATATATATATATATATATATATATATATATATATATATATATATATATATATATATATATATATATATATATATATATATATATATATATATATATTCAGACCATAAGAAGTTTCACATCATTCACATAAGAGGTCTCTAACGTATTATATGGTTTAAATTCCATTCTATGTTTTCACATCATTTGTATATATATATATATTTGAATCTTTTATTTATGAACATCTTCTTTTTGAATGGGAATATTTTCTAAGGTTGTGGTGACATTGGTGCAAAGTGCGATGTGGAAAGCTTCTTTATGTTTCCAGCGTTCACAATTGACCTTATCTCCCTGTTCAATTTCAGAGAAACTATTTTGTTATTTTCTCTTCTTTCTTACCACTTGCTAGCTTTATTGAAGAAAGCCATGAAACGTGCGATGTGGACAGATTATTTTTTAATGCCATTATTTTAAAAGTCTTATCACCTTTGGTTAGATAAAGTACATTACATTAAACCTATTATATATAGCTTTTGTGTTGATGGAGAAGTTAAAAAACTCCAAAGTGGTCATAAAATCTTAGAATAAAGAAGGTTTAATTTGGAATTTTTGATTCCCAAATAGATAACTTTAAAGAGAAGGTGATCATGGATTATTTGTTAAAGTGATTGATTCTAGATATACTCACATATGATTATTTCTTTGGAATAAAGAATACCAATTGTTTCAAAGTTCAATGTATAAATGGTTTATGGAGGCTGACACTAATTCTAATTACTTCCATGCATCGGTTAAGAGTAGAATTAAAAGGAAATGTTATCTTATCTCTTAAGGTTAGAGACTAATGGATTGAAAGGGTGTATGATATTAGACAATAGATAGTGAATCATTTCACTAATTTTTTTATTAAAAATCAAATGTTAATGGATCGCGTCTGGATGGTGTAATTTTCAGCTCTCTTTTGGATGACAATAATCTTTCTTTGTCAACTCCCTTTAGTCTCCAAGAGCTAGATGATGATGATGATTGTCTATCATCATATAACTTTATTGAGCATCTACGTATGTGTTGATGTAATTTTGGTTTAATATATCTTGGCTTTGAGAAGAATTAAAGGGAAGTGAAGACAACTAAAAAAAACTAGAAAGTATCTAGTAAGATATTTTCTAGATTGTGTATGCGAAGTTTAGGATCGACGTTATTGTCGTTTGATTTGGAGATAAAAAAGACAACTAAAAAAAACTAGAAAGTATCTAGAGAAGCACAAGAAAAAATAGAAGAAGGACATTCTCTAAATACTTCAGATCACGAAAGTGAGCAAGAGGAAGAAGTTATGACAGTTCCATCATCGAGAAGGACTATGAGTGACTATTGCAGAAAGGCTGATGTAAGGCATATTTTGATGGGGTTCCAACTGGCAAACCCCATTTCTTTTTGTATTAAGAATTATTTTCTTCTAGGTTTGAGAGACAACCAGTTTAACAGAAGCACAATTCAAGACTCGTGGGAACATTTGACATGATTCTATGAGACATGCTCTATGTGTAAGCCAAATGGAGGTAATTGAATGTCAGATAAAGTTGAGACTTTTCAGGTTTTAATTAACTAAAAAGGAAATATATTGGTTGCAATATCTATTGAGTGGTACAATCATGACATGGATAGAGTTATAAGACAAGTTTCTAGAAAGATTTTTCTCCAATGCTCTATTTTTTAAAAGAATTGTTGAAATTTCAAATTTCTCATAAGGAAATTCATAATCACTTTACTCAGAAGGTGTCTGAATCATAACATGTATAACATGGAACAAATGCAATATTTCACAAGTGGTCTAAAATCTCAAACAAGAATACTTTTGGATGCCTTAATCGGAGGTACAATCAAATTAAAGAATGAAGACAAAGTGAAAGAGTTGATAGAGAGGTTTGAAAACTGAAGAAAAGAAAAATGGTGTACTAGAATTGGATGATCACATAACCTTGTTATCTCAACTGGAAGTTCTTACTAAGCTGTTAGCAAGAACAACTATTATTCCTACAAATGTGAGTCAAGCTCAATCATTGTAGTGTAATTTTTGTGGGACAGAGCATGCTAATGGATATTGCGTACTAGAAGAATTCATGGAAGAAACACAATATGTAAACAATTTTCCAAGAGGTAATCCCTATTATAACACTTGCAACCTAAGTTGGAATGGTCATCCTAGTTTCAAGTGGAGAAAAAACACAAGTTTAAATCCAATTCAAGGTGCCTTACAGGTTCCTCATATTCATCATGTTCCTAAAATGCAACAACCAAGGCAGCCTACTCTATTAGAAGAAAATATGGCCCAATTTATGAAGATGAATCAAAGTAACTTTGATACTATGAGTAAGAATCGTGAAGCATCCATCAAAAGTTTGGAGACATAAATTGGTCAACAATCAAGATAATTAGCACCACAAATAGGTGGGGGTTTCAATGGGGAAAAAGTGATGTAATAGATAAGGGAGAGGATGAAAAAGAGAAAGAACTAGAGGGATAAAAAATTGAGAATGTGAGTGAATAATTTGTGAGGGAGGATACACTTGATAACTCATTTATAGAAACTCATCCTTGAGGAGAACCAAGAAGAAAATTCTAAATGAACCTGATCCTGAACTACCATATTAGGTTAATCGTCCTTACACAACTCTGAAAAATAAACCCAAGAAAGAGATGAAAGTTGGGCAGATCAAAAAGCTCATGGAAATGTTGACAAAGCTCTAAGTTAGTATCCCATTTTGTGAAGTTGTAGATCAAATGCTAGTGTACACTAGATTCACGAAAGACCCAATTATAGGAAAACTTAAGACAAAGTATGATTAAAATATAACTTTGGCTGAAGAATGTAGTGCCATCATTCAGAAGAAGCTTCCACCCAAAATTAAAGATCCAGGGTGATTCACTATTTATTTTACCAGTATCATATTGAACAATTGAAATGCATTTTGTGATTTAGCGAAAAAGTATCAATCTGAGGCCTATATCTACAAGGAATAGTCTTAATTTTGGGGAACCAAAGCCTACTTAGATGACTTCGAATTTAGCAAAATCAATTTATCACTTACCCTTACGAAGTGCTAGAAGATGTATTGGTTCTAGTCAAATATTTACTATTTCCTATGGACTTTGTGATATTAGACACGATAGATGACACATAGACACTAGAGGATCTATTTGCTTGTAGTTATAAAGCCAAAGATCATGCTGACACCCTTCCCAGTGAATTGATGATAACAATGTTAATGATTATAGAATTCGAAATTGATGTCCTTCTGTAGTGGGAAAATTTGAGATTAAGCTATTGGTTAACTTAACTCATAATGTAAGAGTGCCACCACAATTTTACTTTTCCAAAGGAAGGGGAAAAACGAACAAAACCCAAAGAAGTTTTTAAACAAAACTAATAAAACAGAGAGAGACAAAGACTAAGGGTTGGTTATGCAATGGGAAGGTGTTACCACCCAAAACATCTATAGTACTTTATAGGAACCTCTTGAAAATCTATATTTGGCTTAAAAAGGTTATTTGCAAAAGATGGTGGAGATGAGAGGAGAAATATTTTTTTTAGGTTTTTGTGTTTGACAAGACTTCATGAGCCTCGTGCCTACGTACCCACAAAATGCAATGGAGGATCAAAACCTCGTAGTTTGTGGTAAAATTAACAAAGAGAGATTTGTTTTGATTGATTTTAAATGGCAAGACAAGTTGTCATTTTAAGGAGAACACTCAACTAGTCACCCACAAGTAATCAAAATGGACCTTTGCATCACTATTGAGAAGGGCTCCAACTTGAATAGAGATCAACTAGTATGCCACTAGATCTCTCAAGTTGAAAAGAATCAACATCAAACATAACTATAGAGATAGGAGAATTACATCTCAACTATGAAAATGACTCTTATCTAAACCTTAAGAAAAGTTTAAAAGGAAAAGTGCACGAAGGGCACAAAATGATTTGAACGAGTTAAGTATTTTTTAAGTCTTATGAAAATGGTCTTCATATGCTTAAGATTGATTAGCAATTTATCCAAAAAAGTTTGAAAATCACTTGACAAAGTCAAGGTTTATTGAGAAAGTGGTTCAAGTTTAAAACAAGAAGGTTTTGATAACGGGAGAAAATTTTGAAAATTGAAGAAGAGGAGGAGATGAAAAGACTACCCTAAAGCATAAAATAAAATCTAAGGAAAGAAAAGATATAACTAAGATACCAAGCTATCACATCCTTTAGATTCAAGCAATAAGAAACCAAATAAGCAGAGAAATAACAAAACACCAAATAAAGGAAAACTTAAGCCAAGGCCAAAGATGAGGTAACATAGCTAAGTCTTCCACAAGTCAACTCAAAGTCAAGGCACCAAATAAATTCCCAAGGTATCAAGTCACAACTTCAAAGCATAAGATAAAGAACCAAATTCTAAGTGCAATAAGTCCAACATCCAAGCAAGGGATAGTAACCAAAAATTCCAATGGAAGCATTAAGTCTTTTAGTGTTTAGCCTTTATTAATGTCTTAAGAAAAGAAAAATAAAATTCAAGTGGACAAAAGGAAAATGAATAAACATAAACAATAGAAATATGATATGTAAATGACAATAATAAAGAAATATATGTAAGGTGTAAGAAAGTAAATGACTTAAAGATAAAGGTGCATAAAAGTAAATGACCAAAAATTAATGTTAACATAAATATATGGTTAATGTTATTGTTAGA